CAATAATGACTCTTAATTGGCGGAGAAGGCTCGAAGCCCGTGAGAAGGCGCGCTGGGCCAAAAGACATCGGAATTATAAATGTGACGCATGTTTCCGAGGCACTTTGTTTAGTTGTAATCTGCTTGTGAAGTCCTGTCAGGTCGAAGAGCGAGTCCCGCCAAAGGAGTCGCGTTATTTGGGCTGAGTAATCGTATAAAAACAAATTTGACGTTAATTCTGATTGATACTTGAAAGATGACACTGGCGGTGGTCGGAGCCAACTCGAAAAAATGCGATGCGTGAGTTTGATACGCAGCGCCGGACTTTTATCCTTTTTCGCGGGCGATTTTTTTTAATCCGCTTTAAATGTATAATGAGGATAAAGTGCGTGGGTAATTTGGTCGATTTTAGTTGAATTTATAGATAGTTCGTTCGGTATTGTGATGGTAATAATGGTGGAAATCGGGCCGGTACGGTTCTGTTTGGTCGAGATTCACTTAAGGAATCAGGTAGACAGGCAAGGAATATGACAATATACCACTTAAATCGAATGATCACCGAACGGACACACTTTTACTGCAACTGACGTTCGGTAAAAAAAGAGTCCTTTTGTCACTTAAAAGCTTTTTGACGCAAACCTCTCGGTTTTCCATTTCATCCCGCCCGACGGGTTTTGTTTATGTGAAGCCGGGTCAATGATGAAATTAAACCATTGAAATCGGCGCCGTTTCTTCCTTTTTAGCGGGCCCATCGGACCGCGTTCGAGTGCGTCTCATGCTCGACATTCCATCGGCAATAGTTCGATCCCGGTGCGTTCTCGAACCGCGGGGAGAGAACGAAAAAAAAAACAAACGTCGCCTGGATCGAGATTTTATCGACGGCGCTTTACAATGGGACTCAATTTGCCACTCTACATACCTTTCCTTTGGACCGTCGCTCGGAGAAAGTCCAATTAAACATGTTGCCTATTGCGCGATTTTATACCGAGAAAAGAGCTTTTGTCGGTCTTCGATCATATCTTTTTTTTAGGCGATTTTTTTGGACCGTAATTGATTGACGCGATGGTTAAACACCACTTTAATTCGCTAACTGAGCGGGGTTTCTATTAAATAACTGAAAAAGCTCGGAGGTAAAAAAGCGTTCGCATCTCGCGGTCCTCCATTACATAAATTATGACAGTAGGTAGCTTCCAGGCTCGTTAACTTCAACACAATATAATTGGCTAACTATAACTTGTCAACCGTTTAAGCTGTTAAGTTATTTACGGGCGAGAAATCAAAAACATGTAATAACAGTTTCTGTCCGTAACATTAACGTTTAAATATATCAACACGAGTCGCTACCTGGCCGGTGTTATTACTCACTCGCGGTAGATTTATCAATTTTTTTTAGCCATTCGCGTACCGAAAAGTGCCCGAAATCGACGCGTCGGGATTTCATCGGCGGGGATTTCACCCCGAAAATCGCAATTTCCATCAAAGTTTTGCTAAACAATATATTCATCGATTATCCGCGTGGAGGATTCCACCGAGATAATTACCGATTAACGGCGAATCAACGTCCCCGGTACGCCCTTGCTTACCGATTGATACAGACGCGAGGAAAAATCGTTTTCGCCGGAGATCGAAACGTTTAAATCAATTTCTCGTCGAGAGCCATCGACGCGGTTAATGTTTTGCTGTCGACTGCGAAATTGTTTATTTCAGCCTGTCTCTTTCGAAATTGTTTATTGGCCGCCAGTCGCTTTATTTTTTTTCTCGAACCGGCCGTACTCTCGCGCGAAAAAACCGTTCCCATTCGACCGGGGACAAGTTGTCTACCATTAACATTTTCCACTCGAATACTACCGAGCGATTGTAGACATGAAGTTCTAGAATATCTTCCCGATAGAGTCGATCATTGTTTTGCATTAGTTAATCAATTATCCACATTAGTTAGTCAATTATTTACCTTAATTATAGTCAATTATTTATATCCAATATTTAGAACCTTGCTGCGAAAAATGATTGTTACAAACGAACAAAATCTCGAGAAACAGTTATTAGGTACTATAAAGCGTAGCAACTGGATTTTTACAAACCGGTACCATCGATTTTTATTGTTTATAATATCGAAATGGGCCGGAGTTAAAACGATTGAGGATGATCGTGCGTTATTATTTGCCCAGCGAAAATACACACCAGGCTAGGAACGATTCCTCCGCGTCTCCTTTCCATAATTCCACCATATTTACCGGCGTAAAATCCTGAAATTATCTAGAAAACGCGTTCCGCCGAGTCGGTAGAGCACGAACGGATCGACTCCCATCCGTCCACATGCCCGGTTTCCTCGTTCGGAAAAGAGAAACGAAGAAAAAAAACAGACCCGGTAACTATATACACGTAGATATACGCGGAAAAAATAAAACGACCGAACGAGAACTTAACGACGGTCTAGAGAGAGGTGGATTTCTTCTATCACTATAATTTGGCGTGCGATACGCTATCATCGGAGATTCCGTTCGCGATAACGTTGCCATCTTGTTAACTCGTTAACCAAACGGCTAATGAGTTAAAGGCCACATTTCGACTATGTGCAAGTCATATACGATTCGTATCAATCACCAAACGTGTTAATCGATTTATATTTATACAAGCATTCTTTTTATATTGCTAGCACGGTCCTATATTTCTAATGTCTGGTAACATAGGTCGAAAAAGTGTCCCGTTATTTAAAGATAAAACAGGGTTCTTAAAACGGCCGCTTGGAGGCGATGTTGTGCAAAAAGGACCACGGTTTTTTGCGTACGAAGTATATAGAATTAGCATTAAGAAACAAATATTCACACAAAAAATAAATACAAAATATAAAAATATACTTACTTAAATCAGCGATGATTTTCTTATTAACATCATGCCTCACGTATCTTCGGTTAATATATTTCTCCATTTTCTCTTCGAACTGTCAAAAAATAATTTTTGAAGTTTTGACAGCTTGAACTGTCGTCTCACAACCGCGATTTATATGTAGCGCGACGCTGATTGGCTGAGATAAGTTGGTCCTCCGATCGTTCGCCACGGTGTGGCGAAAAAGTGAAGCTTAAAAAGTCCTCAAATAACGCGACACATTCTCTAATGCATAAGCATAGGTTAAGAGTTTTCGTTTTGCTAACGAAATTCTAACATCGCTTATACGTCAAACGTCAAAAATAAAACAAACCAACTTTGGTCTTTTACGTCTCGGTAAACCAAACAACCAGTGACAAATGACAGTTCTACTATATCGTGGATATACAGTTACTTTCTTAGGTATAATTAGATAGATAACGGGCGTAGATATAGAGCCGTATAGCGGTTAATATAGAGCATCTTTATAGGTAAACCGGCCGAATGGTTAAGATAATAGACTTCTAGTTGTGGGGTTTTTTTCGTTCGCCAAACCGTAAAGCAAGCGTGTACGACAAGCCACAACAACCGTCCGGGCTGATTGACACGTGTGGCATTGATTGACGCGGTTGATGGATACGATTGATTCCCATCAGTGTAGATCACGTCGCGATAGGCGCTGCCTTTTTTGGCCTGCGACGGTCGATTGTTCGACCGATCCGAGCGGTTTTTGGCTTCCTTTTATTTACCCCGAATCGGACGAAAATTCGGATGTTCGTTCGCGATAACTCGCTTTTCTTTTATTCATAATCCCCGCGCATCGTATAACGGCTAATGCTCCCGCTGTATATTTCGGTTATACCGAAATATGAATAAATAAATCTATAGTGTAGAGTTTGTGTTGAACATAAAACCGAATTCTCGGATGGTGTGTAGCAACTCTATCGGGAAGACAAAAGACCGTAATGGGTGTTTTGCGCAACAATGCCGGCAATAAAAATAATTAATAGATTATTACCAGGCCATTGTTTCGGATTTGGTGAAAACGTTCTGGCGTAGCAACTATGGATATTCGTGTCGGCGAATCGTCGTTACGGCGTCATTATGCAAAAGTCTAATTAACATAAACAAGGATATTGTGGAAACCGCCCATAAATCCGATATATACGCCGCGTATATATGCGTTCCGGATAAAAAGGATCGTTAACTCTGTCAACTCAATTATGATCGTTTTCGGTTTTCTACTTCACATGATTAAAAATATCTATTCAATAAACTGCTCCACAAAAGTTAAGGAAGTTCGCAAATTTTGCGATTATTTTAAAAGTTACAGACTTTTTGATCACCAAATTTCCAAATATGCGAAATTAAATGTTTTTTCTCATATCTGAGTAAATTTTTTGCACCTACCTCTACAACTCATACTAAATTTGGCGATCAAAAAACCTGCAACTTTTAAATTAATCTCAATATTTGTCAACTTTTGTGGAGCAGTATGCTAGAGTAAATGTGCCAAATATAGACCCGGCTTATGGACCACAAAAGAATGCTTTATATAGAGTTAAGTGCTTTATATCGAGTAAATAATCATCACGAGATCACCAGAAGACGAATCACGAGAAGACCAGACAAGCATGGGATAAAAAAAGCAATAGGGGAGGCAATTAAAAATGGACGAGAAAATAAAATGCGCTTTTTGAATGCTTCCAAAACATACACCCAAAACAAATCACTTAATGATATCACCACCCAAAAATTTGGGAAACATTCAACATTACCGAGTAAATTGGAAGATGAATTAGTCAATTATATTCTAGAAATAGAAAAATCTGGATGTGGTCCATATTATGTTCACTTTCTGAAAGTTCATATAAAAATGATATACTTTAGAAAATGTTATTTATTTCAAAGATTTTGTCTTCTTTTGGACAATTTTATTACGAGTTTTTCTTAAAGGAATTGGTTAATATAAATTAAGCTGATAAAAATTTAAAATTCGACTTTTTATTAAGAAAAGTGCTTATAGTAGTCCATATACAGCGCACTTCCTCTACTACATTTTCTATCACAATTAACCGCTCTTTAATCCACCCCAAATTTATATATGCACAAAACCACCTTAATCCACATCTAACATTTCGTTATGTTTGTTGCAGAGTTTGCAGAGCGCCGCTCGAAGGGCAGGTACGAGTTGCGCCAATTGCAAGACCACGACGACGACCCTTTGGAGGCGCAACCAAAACGGCGAGCCCGTTTGCAACGCCTGCGGACTGTACTTTAAGCTGCACAACGTAAGTTTCCAAATCATCAGTTAACGCCTATAAAATCGGCGCTCTCGCCGGATTCCCACACCGCATCGTGGTGCTTTTATAATGAATAATCCACGGGTGGAAATGCGGGTAATAATGTATATACACGAGGTATTCGATTCGCGAATTGTTTGGTTTGATTAGAAGCGGATTTTTTTCGTATAAGTAACATCAATCGCGAACGGGTATTTTATACCGAACAAACAGAAAAAAACCAGAGTATATATAGAAGAAGAAAAACGAGATCACCGATTGCGAAGAAATTACTCTTCTTCGTGGCATCTTCCTCCTCCGCGCATCGAATAAAGCTAGAGAGAATTCCGTTCGCGATCGAGCTGCATTGGTAGTGCGATTGTTGATCATATAATGACATGTTCCAGTGACTATCGAGTATGTCGAGCGCCCGCGGCCGGACTTCGGCCGGTACATCGTACATATACCGGTCCCCACGCCCATTTTAAACAACGTCGTTACCCGACAACAATAACAATTTGTTACGGGAATAGAGCGCGCCACGTAATAAGCCCCGGACCGCATCGGGTCAGATTCCGGCACCGCGATAAACCGCGCCAGGCTCTCGATGGGAAGAGCGATGCGATTGACCATCGAGGAATCTCGGAATTTCGACGGCGAGCTCGCGCAGCCCGCGAGAACGCTCGCGCTGCTCCCTCGCGGGCTCTTTCGCTCGTCGAAAGAGAGGCTTTTTAACGATGCTGGTCGCGCGTTAATTGGAGCACGGGGGATTCCCGGACACCTCCGGACGCATTCCCAGCCGGCGCGGCGCGATCGAATTGGAAGAAAACCGGCGATTAAAGGCCCCCTTTAAATGATACTCGTTGCGTCATGAGACCACTTTATAACGCAGGGTATTAAGGATCACGGTCACTGGACTGTTTATTTTCGGTTTACACTGAGAAATGTTCTGTTTGTACTAGATTAAACCGATTTCATCCCTCTTGTAAGTCCTACTAAAATGCAACTTTACATACTTGTAACAAATAGGCTTTAAAGTATAGATTAATCCATAATAAATGACTAATTAAGGTGCAGGCTATACACGAATTTCGGACCTGTTTCGAACCGCAACTTTGCAGGCTTCTCTTACCCGTGTTTTCCATCGATTTAGCAACGTTTACACGGGCACGTAGGCACTTATCCTGATTGAAATGCAAGCGGGCGTCCGTCGGTCGGCGATTCAATCGGGCCGTTCGTTCCCGGAACGAACGATAAATTTCTCAGTGTAGCGCGTCACGTGCATTACCGTTCGCCGAAAGATGCGCGAATTAACGCCGACGATTCGCCGCACAAGGGCCTTCTTGTTGCCGCGGCGTCCATTTGATCGAATTAAAAGCGGAGACTTTGGAGACATTTAAGCCGTCTCGCGGCGGACAAAGCGCTCGATTATCGTCTGCGGACCTAATTAGCGATGTGTAGACTTCGCTCGAGCCGGACCTGGGCGGATCCGATTTGGGCAGAGGCTAATCGACTAACTAGATCGTCGTTAGATCATGCGAGATGATACTTTTAACGCCCGACGATTATGATTGTTCATCTCCGATCGAGAATCGGGCTCTGGTGCTTTATCCGCGTACTCTATCTGACCAGATTGATGTCTAATTAATCCTGAGGAATAGTATCGGAATTGTAATTATTGTAATAGTGTCTAACAGAGCAGATTATGCATCTAAGAGAGTTGATTATAAGCACCTAATAGTATTTGAGTGTCTAAAAGAGTCGATTAAGCACCCAATAGGATCGATTTGTCATCTAAGAGAGTCGATCAAGGTTCTAATAGAGTCAATTAGGCATCTAAAAGAGTCGATTAAAGACCTATTTGAATCAAGAGAGTCGATTAAACTTCTAATAGAATTTATTAACCGTCTAAAAAAGCCGATTATGCATCTAAAAGAGTCGATTAAGCACCTAATAGGATCGTTTAGTCATCTAAGAGAGTCGATTAAAGACCTATTTGAATCAAGAGAGTCGATTAAAGACCTATTTGAATCAAGAGAGTCGATTAAACTTCTAATAGAGTCAATTAACCGTCTAATAGAGCCGATTGTGCTTCTAATTGGGCCCAATTAAACGCATAATAGAATCAATCTACTATCTTAGTATTCATTCGCTTTATCTCGTTGAAAGAATTTGGAGTTTCTCGCTGGCTGCGCGAGCTCGAGCGTATAAATTTCGAACGTATAAACAGAAACTTACGCTATACTTATATTATTTATTATATACCATCTTGTATGCGGAGATCCGTTTCATTTACAATATATACAGATAAGGCATCTGAGATAGTTATCTAGATCGTGAACGTTTGAACCCAAATACATACATAGTGTACGGTATAAGAAAGTAATTTGTAGCGAATTTTTAATTGGCAATTTCTAGTAAATTCCCGCGAGGCTCGCGCTGGAAATGGACCGATTCGCGCACCCTGTATATTAAGATTGCGTATAGATTAAAATAATTTCTGGCGCATCAGGATGGAGCGCCGCAATTCAGCGCTGGAAATCTCCCCGAATTACCGAAAACGTCCGGTCGTAAAATCAACCCAATGACCCTCGACGATTAAACAATCGCCCCTCGGGCGTTTCGCAGGAAAATCCGACGATTTCCTGGGCTGGAAGCGGCGTCAGCAAACATTCTTTCCATCGTCGATAATCTCGCTAGAATGATATACTATATAATCGTGACGGTTTATTTTATTTCTAATAACGCCGCGATCGCATTCATCGCCTTGTATTGATCGGGAATAATTACAATTCTAATTAAAGCTGTCTTCGGGAGATCTTACGAAACGTTTTTTTAGGCAACGGCGATTCCGCTCCAACCTGCGTCGCTTCTGCTTCGTCACGATCAATTCAAAATACACAGAATCGTATTCGAATAATTTCACACAACATCCAGCCCGGGCGCAAATTAATCATCTTGTGCATCATGATCGACTCAATTGGGCATGTAATTGACTGTTTGAAGCTTAAAATCGACTCTCTTGTGCATACAATTGATTATTTTGGTCAAATAATCGACTCTCTTGGGCATATAATTGGCTATTCTTGGCGTATTACTGACTATCTTGGGCATATAACAACTGTCTTGAGCATATAACCGACTCAATTTGACATGTAATTGAGTGCATGGAGCATATAATTGACTCGCTTAGGCATACAATTGATTATTTCGGGCAAATAACGACTCTCTTGAGAATATAATTGACTATTCTTGGCGTATTACTGACTATCTTGGGCATATAACGACTGTCTTGAGCATATAACCGACTTGATTTGACATGTAATTGAGTGCATGGAGCATATAATTGACTCTATTGGGCATACAATTGATTATTTTGGTCAAATAATCGACTCTCTTGGGCATATAATTGGCCATTCTGGGTATATTATTAACTCTCTTGGGCATGTAATTGACTGTCTTGGTTATATAACGACTCTGTTGTGCATATAATCGTCCAACTTTGGCATACTATCGACTCTCTTGAGCATATAATAAACTCTTTTAAATGCCTAATAATTGACTCTCTTGGGTTTATGTGTTTTCGGTCCAATCCTGCGTATAAGAGCTACCTACTTGCCACACTCGCGGACTTTTTTGGGAGCTTTTTCGCCATCATCGGGCCGTATTTGGTTAGGCGAGGAATGCCCTCATTAATCTAATTAAGCTGTCGGGCTGTACATTTGGGGAACCTCGTCGGTTCTCGCGCGCTCTCCGCGCGTGAATTCACGAAGAGTCGCCCGAAAGTTGACGGCGTATGATAGATGGACGGCGGATATTTTAATAAATCTCGGCCGGATTCATTGTCTTCTTCCATCGTAAAACCGAAAATTTAAATAAATTTAACCGGTTCCCGACGGGCGAGCCGTCGCTTTTGAAGAATGTCGTGCGTTTTGAAATATCTGCTCCTTTTTCGTGCGTTCGTTGGAGATTCAAGGTTAATTACATAATTCGACCGAGCCGGCGGTTTTGTTGGAAATTTATCGAATACGAGGAGATATGCGAGGAGCATTCCAAATTGCACATTGCGGCTAATCGGTACCGTCGCCACGTAGCTTTTTATCGCCGGGCGGCTTTTATTTTCATTGTTCAAATTGAATATTCGAACGATCGTCTAATAAACCGGGAACAAAACGCGCGACGGTTTCACAGAAACGCCGTAAATAAAGTGAAAATCGTTTGCCATTCATCCGGCGCGCTCGTCGTAAAATATTTTTCCGCGGCGTTAGATGGGTGATAATTATCGAAATGCATATACCGGTGTGAAATCGATTCGATTCGCCTACGGGGTAATTGCTGATCAATTCCGTCGGCTTAAGGACAACTGGTAATTAGTCCGGGGAGGTTAGTTGGTGGAAGTAATTGTACGGTTCCTTTTCACCTAATAACGGTAGCGATAAATCAAAAAAAAAAACCGATTCCCGATTAATTCTCGGAACCCGAACGGTGCTACCGAATAATTCCGGTTGATTTATTTTTCCGTGATACGCTCCGGGATTAGGCCTATTAGCCCTGTTAAATGAAAGAGTTGATGTTTATATGGACGCATAACATCGGCGCACTTAACTATATTTTTTTCGAATTTTACTTGCAACATTTTCTCCACACTTTTGTATGATTTGACGCAAATGACAGTTAACAATATTGACAGGTGACATATGACATAATGAGCCAGAACTCGCCTAGTCTGTTTACAGATTATACTGCGTAATTTTTGGTGAATTTTGGGAACGCCAATGGTTCAGTGAATATGGATCGCAGCCCATTTAACGGGTAGTTAGGACCTCGAGGCCTTATTTCTAATCAGAATAAATCAAACCCGAGCGATTTATGAATGGTTGTGCGTTACAAAACGTAGCCACACTAAAGGCTACCCGTATTGAAAACGCGAAACCCATTAGAACGTCCGACGGAAAAAAAATTGTGTATATTTGTATTTAAATGACGAATTCGAATTGGATCTGATAAACCGTTCATTTTTCCTGGCTATAGGAAATTAAGTCGGCTAATTAAGATTTGTATACTTATCGTTGTTTTCGAGTAAAACGTTCGACTTTTACAGTCAGGAAGCGAGTCGGTATTTCTTAATTAATCACAAACATGAAAGAGTCCATTAACAATATAAAATAATAAAAGAAAAAGCGAGGAATACATTACCGATGCGATTCCCACCGGTCGGTTTTATTAATGCGGTTATTATTTCTGCACGCATCCTGCAAGTCGTAAATCGAAGGATGAATTGCATACAGGATGTCGCGGACGTTTTTTTCCTTCTTTATTTTATCGTAGGCACAAACTTTCGCGAAATCTCCCATCACAAAAGCCCGACCCAAGTAACCGTATATCCCTTCTAAAGACCCAACAAAAACTCCTACTCGAAAAGCCATCGAAATATATCGTAATTGTGTCAATACATCCTGAAACACACCCCAGGAATCCGGGGCCCCATTGTCCCAATAAAGTATCACTTTTGCGAACAATCCTCGACCATTCGCCGGGGTCGGGCTTAATAACAGGGCGGCGAATTCGGGTTCTTTTTCGTCCATCGAGCACCAGTAGCACTTACACGGGCCATTTACCTTGCGCCCCGTGAGACATATAATAGACAATCGGACGCGATTCCATCCGCAATTGACCGCCCGAATCTCAAATCGGTCTCCTTGTTGCAGGTGAACAGGCCGCTGACGATGAAGAAGGAGGGCATCCAGACGAGGAATCGCAAGCTGTCGTCGAAGAGCAAAAAGAAAAAGAGCGGCGCTTCGTGCCTGTCGCTGAACATGATGGGCGACATGATGAAGCCGCTGGACGGCGGCAAGGGCGGCTTCGGCGGCGGCTTCGGGGCGGGCATGGGCGGCGGGCATCCGCACCTCAACGCCGCCCTGCACCCGCACCACGCCATGAGCCACTGGTACCAGCACCAGCACACGCAGGGCTTCGTGTCGGGGCCGCCGCCGCCCGCGCCGCCCCCGGCCGCCTCCTATCACCATCACATGAGCTCGCTCAGCGCCGCCGGATTGGGACTCACGTCCAACGGAATGGTAAGGATTGTTTATTTTTAATCGTAGAATCCTCTAATCTACTCGCTTCTGCTCTAAATTTGCGATAAAACACTATTTTTCGCATTGTACGCCAATAAGTGGGGTTTCAAGATGCGTTCGATGATACATTACTGTCAAAATTAACAAAATTGACATTAATGACATTTCGTATGACAGAAATTTAATAGAGATGGGAATATTTATAGGTATAGAGGTGCAGTAACGACTGTTACAAAATAACCGTTATTTCTCAAATATCGTTCTATGCCCAAAAATTTCAATTTCTTGCAATATAAGTTGGAGTAATATTTCTGGACACGGTTTACCCAATTTTTTCTTAAAAATTTTCAGTAATTTTTACGGGGTGTTTGTTTTGTTTGTTGCAGACGAGTTGGAGGTCGGAGTACACGTGATAAGGAGGAGCCCAAGGAGCCTTTGGAGGAATTTAATTTATGAAAGCGATTTTTTGTAGATGTAGCTCCTGAGATGGTAAAATTGAGAATTATTATAAAGAAACCCGTTTTAAAGTGATGATTGTGAGGCCGGTGGGGGCGGCGCCGCCCGTGCTTGTATTTAATTGTAAATTTTGTAAAAAAAATATAATATGGGAAACACGTCGGGGCGGCGGCGGCCCGACGGGCTCGTTTGTATAAAATTTAAGTACAAAAAAAACGAAGTTTGTAATGTATTGTAAATAGTTGTAGTTTGTCTAAAATAATTTTTAATACAGATGATGATTTGTAAAAAGTAAAATAAAGAATTTAAAAAAAAAGATACCTATGTGCAATCTTTACGTAAAAAAAGTATTTATATATAATTGTGTGGGTGAGATTACAAATAACAGAAAATTGTGACGGATTTTCTCGTGAAATTTTATGTCTTAATGGCGTTTGTGTTATTTAAATCGAAATTATTAAATTACATCGACCTATAATTGTAAATAAATACTTCCTCTAACAGCCTATATATTTATTTGTAAATTAGTTTTTTAAGACCTAAAATTTCATCACGGATCGATGTTAAGATATATTTATAGACTGCAAATATTGTAAATACATTTTTGAATCGTACATTTAAATGCCGACCAATTTTTCGTTCGTCGAAAAATACATTAAAAAAAATATCTTTCGTATTTAATTTAAAATTCAACGATCGCATTACATTTTTTTTTTTGAATTTTAAATTACGTATTGAATGGGAAAAAATCCAATCGCCATGTTCGTGTATAATTGTAGCATTTTCGTTGAATTGACTTAATTTATTTTGTTATCGTTTAGCAATAAAAAGGCGGATTAAGTTTTCGTTGTATTTCTTATTTTTCTCGTACACAAAACGCAATTCAACATAGACATAATTAAATAAATGAATTCAAAGTTGTATATAAAAAATTGATGTATGTATATGCTCTTTGTGTGATATATTAAAATATTCAAACATTCGTTTATGTGGTTTCCTTTAAAATCCCTAAATGAGAGTAAAAAAAAATTAAAATAAGTGCAAGTTATTAACTTTCTAAATTGGTCACAAGTTGAAAAACAGGTATGAATTATACCAGCAATTAATTATTTGCATAATTTAATTAACGATCTGGAAAATAATTAATCGAATCGATTTAATTACAACCGAATTCGGAATTTTATGTAAAAAAAACGAGACGAATTTCAATACCCAAAAATATATCAAATCCCACAAAGCCATAATTAAAAAAATATATTTATTCCTTTATTAATAAACACAAAAGGGCTGCGGAGAGTCTATCGAAACTTCCGGTTCTCTTTATTTATTTTATTCAAATTCCGTCGAATCCGTGATTTGCCGAAGAGAATACATGTTGGTAATTACGAATTAAAATTCGAATTAATTATACGAATTAATTATTCATTTGAGCGCCTCAGGAAAGGCAAATGAACGGATGTGGGTGTATTTCGGTCTTTCGCCATCATTACGCACGTTGTTAATCAAAATAAAACAACCAAATGAATATGTATATGTACGAGGGATGTTCCCAATGTACTGGAAATTGTAATTGTAATTAAATTATAGCACAACTCTGAAAACATCCCTCGTATATGTCGTTGATAGAAATCTCGAAGGGGACAACATATTGTTTTTAAGTACCTAATTTTTTAGCTAAAGCCATGCAATTCGTTTTTATCTCTATACTGTCGAGTTTGTTCGTAAAATAACCCCGTGTTTCTAATAATTTCCAATTACCTTTCATCGGCACGATTCCGCTCAATAACGGTCGAATTTCCAGGCGTTTTTTATTGGGGGAATTAAGAATTTTTTCTCTAATGGGTCGCGAAACCAATCTAAATTCATAAGCACACCTTCGGGTTTTCGTTAACGCCCGCTTTCCTCCGGCTCTCCGTCTTAATTCCGCTTTTATTTTTATTACGGGAAAAGTTTATCGGCGCGAGTTCGGGGCGAGATTTATGCGAAAAATTTGAGGTAAATTAGGCGGATTATCTCGGAAACGTCGAGTGTACGAAACGCCGGAATTGGACCAGCAAAAATTTATATTCGAAACCGACAATCGATCGATAATATTCCTCCAAAGCCGACCGTAAATAAAGACTTCGATATTATTTTTCAATTTCGCCGCATTAACTTTATCAACGCGGAGATACATTCTACCGGATAAACGGACCAATTTTATCGAGCGATATTTCGAAATCGAAAAGTCCGCCGCCGATAAATCGCCGGCTTCACCGAAATCCCCGGAATCCATTTATTCCCAAATCCTCGGCAAATAACGCGAACCATCCGAGCGCGATGTCCACTATAAGTAAATAGATCCGGGCGCTCGTTTTTCCGGGCCGTTACGCGGCAATCGGAAATGCAACACTTACCGATCCATCCCCTTATATCTCGAGAAATTCGCGCGAGAATATCGCCTCGAAATAACTACGAACAGCAAGATCTCCACTCTAATTCCGCCGAATATTACATCGCATTCGATTTTCGGGGGGCAGGTGAATCCCGACAGGTGCCGGCACGCGTTCGTTTTTCTACACCTGAGCGTAATTAGTGCATACGTAAGTTCTGGTTCACCTGTCTCTCGCGCTCGTATGACATATATCTTGGACTATTCGGCGGTTGAAAGGACGATTGACCGCGCTCCTCGCTATCGCTCCTTGTTAACCAACCTGCGGTTAATTCACCAACGATTTTATAACAGTCGTTAAATCCGATAATAACTCTATTTACATCTATTACTATTGATCTAATTCAACTCACTCTCTACAGGATTTGTTTTCTCCTCTTTCGAGCGTAGAAAAGTCGAAATGAATCGGAGAAACATATTCAAATACGGCATGTCCTTGTGTCGCTGGTTCTCGGATCGCTTTAATATTCCGAGCGTGGATTCTTTTTAAAATAATATAATCGTATATTAACGATGCGTCAGAGTTTCGCGGCGGTTTCTGGAACGGGTCTTGATGTCGGGCATTAAATTTCCGCGCACAAACAGCGGCAGAAATTCGCTGCGAACGAACCGCTCGGCGAGCGATCTCTCGGCATATTCGCTTAGATCGGAATAATAATTATTTTCGAATTCTGCGTAATAGAGAAACGTACGAGGCATTCCAATTAGGCGTGATGGATTCGTTGTTTGTTTTCGTGTTCGATCGACGAAATGGAAGCGAATACGATTATTGATTTCGGGGTTGGATTATATCTGGCGATCGGATCTTATAATCGACGAAAGTCTTGTTACTTATTTATGCGATCGCCATGAATTTTCGTGCATTATTTACGCGCTCATTTCGGCGCAAGGAAATTACTGCGATTCGTTTTTCAACCGCTACAAAACTAATTAACGATTTTCGCAAAATCGGGCGATGTGAAGTCGATTATAAAACCAGCTAGAGGAGGCGTGTGAAATTAAAATGTATAAATTTACGGAGTCCTGGAGTCTCTCGTCTAAACATCGGGTACGCTCCTCGGGGCGAAATTAGTGGGTAGCACTTTCGTGGAAGGATGTGGATAAATCAAAATTTCGATTTTCGGTTCTATTCCGCCCAACGGACTCGAAGCCGGGCCGATTCCACACACCCAAACACCGCCGGTAATTCATGTGGGATATATTCCGATTAGATTTTTTTTTTTACATCGGGAATGACTCGTCGATTTCGTCCACGGATTGAGCCGTGTCGATGGAATTAGCGACGCCGATTAAGGATTTCACGCGTCCTTCGAGCGACTTGAAGACGTATTTATTAAGCGGCTGGTTCGAAATTTAGGGGTGGTTGTGGATCGTTCGATTCTCTTCGGGCACGCGCTGGTAAATTAATGTTTAAGTTATTCGACATGTGATGCGTTTTTGAAGAAGACGCGGCGCTTTTTCCCATTTCACCTGTCTTTCGGTGGTCGCTAACCCGAGAGAGCGCACCGGGCATATTATTTTCGATGCATCGGGCTCGATGTGGCCTTGTCTCAAGGCGATTTACACACGAATACGCGCTTTTTGATAGAGCCGAAATTGGGGAAGTAAATTAATTCTTTGTAGTAGGATATTTTCGTAGAAACTCGTGCAACATTGGAGTGGAATTATGGAGTTGAAAAATGTAATAAAAAACGTATATAAAGGATGACAAGGCACAATGCGAGTGCATCGGTCACCCGTCCTGACGGCCATAAAATTACAGCGTACGCTACTAAATCGATTAAACAACATTACACGCCGAGTTATAAACCCCTAAAAGGCCATTTCACTAATCGCTGAAAATATCCCAATCGATATTTAATACTAGTAATACACATACAAAGTACTATTATAATATTACAAATTTTATTATAATATATCTAATAGGACAAGCAAAAATAGCACTGTGGGTACATAAGGGATAATTAAAGGATGCATGTTCGAGTAATTAACCCGAAATTAATGAATTCTTCCTTATAATTTTTAACGATTTACGCACCATCAACTCGATTTAACCGTATACTGTATAGGGGCTTTATTAAATCCGTTCGAACAAACATTCCTTTTTGTTTCTGTTCCTTGTATATTCTCCAGCATGATCGTCTTGATTAATACGACCCATTTTATCATATTCCTAATGAAGATTTCAACGGCCCATCGAAAGATAAAATTAACCAGCAAATGGACTATGGGATGGGCAAATGATTTTGAATGATACGATTTTCGTCCAGATAAGTTTATTACATAATTTTCCATTAAGCCATTAGAAAAAGCCATTAGAAATAAATGCAAACTACCAACCCTAGAATTTGGTGCCATAAGTTCGAGAACACCCTGTATAACGCTTCAAGAATGTTTTACCATATCTCCTGATGGCGAACAGAGTATAATTAATTATAGCTAAAATGTAGTGCCAATAGTCTCTATTAGTTTCTAGTCGGACAATAGTTTTTAGTCTCTAGTCTCTCTAGTCTCTGTGGTTTCTCTAATCTCTCTAATTTCTGTAGTCTCTCTAGTCTCTGTAGTCTCTCTAGTCTCTCTAGTCTCTCTAGTCTCTCTAGTCTCTCTAGTCTCTCTAGTCTCTCTAGTCTCTCTAGTCTCTCTAGTCTCTCTAGTCTCTCTAGTCTCTCTAGTCTCTCTAGTCTCTCTAGTCTCTCTAGTCTCTCTAGTCTCTCTAGTCTCTCTAGTCTCTCTAATCTCTTTAGTATCTTTAGTCTCTTTAGTCTCTCTAGTTTCTCTAGTCTCTCCACTCTCTCTAGTCTATCTAGTCTCTCTAGTATCTCTAGTCTATCTACCCTATCTACCCTTTAGACTGCTCTCTACAGGTCTCTACTATCAACTCTGTAGAAAGAATCATGTATTATAGGTATAATACATGTAGAGATTGCGCATCTGGCGGGCCCCGAGATCCTCCCGCTCGTGATTCGAGAACTCGTGATGTCGATATACAAATATCGAATGTTCCGTTTCGCCCGGATCGCAAAAGGCTACGTGCACACGGCACACCGTGGTGTTCCGTTCCCCGCTGATATATTATGCTCATAGTTTTATAGGTAATTTAGTGGCGGAATTTATTGTTGTGCACAGCTCGCTCGCCGTCCCATCAGATCGAACTGATTCATGAACTCGAATCCATCCGCATGTACGCGTTCCGAAGAGCATCCATTTTTTTTTTGTTAATAATCTAATACCCAAAAAATGTAGCGAGTGTAGATTAAAATGGGAAATAATAAAGGGAGAGTGGTTGAATTATATATATACGAGGAGAGCAAGTGTTGCTTATATGTGTCATAATTAACCACTGTAGCCAACATATGTCGAAAAAAAATTACTCTAACGGATACGTATATGCTAATGAGGTAAATAAATTAATATGTTGTTCGCATGCATATGCATTCAGTGGTCGACCGAACGGTCTGGTTCGCTTCGAACAATGCCCGTTTCGG